CTCACCAGCCACTCCTCAGAAACCCTACACAAAGTCACTATGAGTCGGAACCAACTTGACGACACTTAACAACAATAAATATGATGAAATAATTAATGTTTTTAGCTAGCATGCCAAAATGTGTCCATTTAAGAGCCACAGAATAACTTTCTGGTTTTAAAAATTAGCGCCATGATTCTGAGACCATTTGAATACAACACAGTAATGATAAAATTTAGTCCCCAAAACGGAAGTTTTTATCGTTGTCCCTCCCTGCAAAAAAATGAGTATTATTCAGGTTTTATCAAAAAGAGCACAGAAATACTCAAATCACAAGCAACAATTCTTAGGGACATAAAATGAAGAAACCACTCAGAACAATTACAACCTCCAACCTGCTAAAGTAATCCCTATTCACTAAACAGAAAATAATCAAAACACACAAAGGCCTAACATGAAAAGAAAAACAGAAAGTCAAGGGCCCAAGTCACAGAATCGTTCTTATTATGAGGAAGAAGTTTACCAACACAATAACAACATTTTACATTTGTCAAGTTGGTTCCGACCCATAGTGACCCTGTATAGGATTTCCGAGGAGCTGCTGGTAAGCTTGGAAACCCTATATGGGGTCTCTATGGGTCAGAACTGACTCGACAGCACTTAACAAGAACATGTTGCATTTTGGAGTTCCTGGGTGATACAAACAGTTCAGCATTCAGCTACTACCAAAAGGCTGGTGGTTCCAATCCACAGTGGTGCCTCCAAAGAAAGATCTGGTGATCTGCTTTCAAAAGGTCACAGCCAGGGAAAACCTTACGGAGCCTGATTCTACTCTGACACATGATCACCATGAGTCAGAATACATGTGATGCAACTGGTATGTTTCACTGGATCCTCGGAACAACCATAAAGTACTGTTGAGCTGATACTCTTGGACCATAATAATAAAGCTGATTAAAGAGTTTAATTATCTGTTTAGAGACAGAAAGAGTTAATAGTTAACAGCAAGGACTTTGGAGCTAGATATTTGTGTTCAAATCCCTGCTCTGACACTTCCTGTATGACCTTAGTAAGTTTGTGCTTCAGTGTCTGTATCTATAAAACACGATCTACTTCAAAGGGTGTGTAAAGCTGAATATTGAGCTCCCAAAGATGCCTACAAGGAGCTCTGGTAGTGTAGTGTTTACAAGTCGGGCTACTAATCTCACAATCAGCAGTTCGAAACTACTAGTGGTTCCATGGGAGAAAGATGAGGCTTTCTGCTCCCGTAAAGATTTACAGCCTCGGAAACCCTATACAGGGTCACTGTGAGTCGGAATCGACTCCACGGCACACCATTACCACCAAAGATAATCTACACCAGAACTCCTGGTATGTGAACACTGGACCACAAGGTCAGCAGTTCACACTCACCAGTTGCTCCATGGAAACACTATATAGGGTCGTTATAAGTCGGAACTGACTCAATAGCACTTAACAAAGATGTCTACATCCTAATGCCCAGAGCCTGTGTACATGTCACCTTATATGGTGAGGGGACTTTGTATATATGTGCTATTGAGACTCCTAAAATAGTCAAGAGTATGGTGGATTAGCCAAGTGGGCCCAACATAATCACAAGAGTCTTTACAAGGAGGAGGCAGAAGGTCCACAGACACAGAAGGCAATGGGATGGTGGCGGCAAAGGGACAGAAAGAAACTGGAAAATGGTTTGCTGCTGTCTTAGAAGATGGAGGATAAAGCCACAAACCAAGGAATGCAAGAAACAGCTAGAAACTAGAAAAGGTAAGGAAATGGATTCTCCCCTAGAGTCTCCAGAAGAAATGCAGCTCTACCAGACCATTTTAGAACTCTGACCTCCAGATATATAAAAAATAAAATTGTATTGTGTTAAACCACTAAATCTGTGATAATTTGTTACAGGAGCAATAAGAAAATAATACAGAGGGTTTACCATAAGGATTAAGTTCACTCATATGAGGGGTTTTAAAAAGTTCATGGAAAAATGGAACTGAGAGACAACAGATCTTTCATTTCAGAACCAGAGGACTCCAGGATCATCAAGAAAGAGCATGAGTAGAGCAGGAGATCCTACTCAGGAAAGTGGTGACAGCAGAGACAGTAGCAGAGGTGATGGCACAGAGAGAGCAGCTGCAGACTCTAGGCCCATGGACTGAGAAAGGCTGTGTGCCTGCGGGCAGGAGGCTGGCTGGCAGAATGAGTCCTTTGGACAGTAAATGAATATATATTTTTAGTTTTGTTGTGTACATCAACTATTTTTGCTTTGTTTATTTGTGAAAAATAAGATATAAAAGGGAAGCCACAGGGTGGAAGCAGGATAACTGTTGTTAGAGGGAGGGGAGTGTAGTCATTGCAATGAAACAAAATATAAAATGTATGACTGGTTGAAAGTAAAGTTAATGATCTTATCTGTTTGTCTTCACTCAATTCACAATAAAAAGTTGAAAAAAAAAAAGGATAATTGAATTTTTACATGAACTTTTAAAGTCCCCTCATACATGTTAAACACTAAAACCAATTCCTAGCACCATAGTAAGAGCTTTTTAAATTTTAGATTTGTTTTTAGATTTAGAGTACTTCAGAGATTAGAAAAATAAGATTCAGAAATTTGGTAACACCTGTCTAAATTTAAAATGTACATACCATTTAACAAAGAAATTCCATTTCTAGATAGAGGTATAAGACAGTCAACATATCCTTGCTTGTAATAACTCAAACATCCATTTAGCTAAAATTACAGAAATACTAGACTGTCTTCAAATAATGAAGCAGACCTCAATGCACTCACATGGGAAATCCTACAAAATGTATCGTTTAGTGAAAAAAAGCTAAGTATACAACAGCAAGTATATTAGGTTTTGTTTTGGCTTAAAAATGAAAAGGCTATATGCATATATTCAAAAGTTGTTATAGTTGGTAAGTGCCTTGGAGTTGCTTCTGATTCACAGAGTTCCTGTATAGGATTTCCAAGGCTGTAAGTCTTTGCAGGAGCAGAAAGCCTCATCTTTCTCCTGCAGAACACTCCATAAAGTACACAAAAATCCTAGAAGGGCATGCAGTTAACTATTAGGAGTGATTCCCTGTGAACAAGGAAACGGAGGTAAACTCTGTTCCTTGTGTGCCTTTTTACATTATTATAGTTTTTTACTAGATCCTTGTGTGATCTCCATTTTTTAAAAACTCAGGTTAAGATGTGACAATACCAACCAATCAAGTATTTATATGCTGATGACAAGTCTACCATCAATAACAGGCATAAAGCATGATCCTTGGTCTCCAACAGGTTGTTATCTAGCTGAGTTTTTAATTAGATCTGAAACAATCACCTCTCTGTTTTGATATTAACCTATCTGAAAGCTAAAGCAGATGTTTTCTATATATTTTTACACTTAAGAGCCTATGAAAATAAATCACTACCTAAAGTGTGACTTCACATGAATATTGTTTGCGATTAACAAACTGATATTTCCTCGAACTGTATTTATGAAAGGAGGATAAAACGGGAGGAATCTTTACTAACAACCCAATTAGACACATATTACATGTACTTTGAGAAAAAAAGATGAAGGACAAATGCCATTTCTGATAGTTGGATGTAGTCTTCTTCATTAAAGTACTTATTAATTTTCTGAATTTTCTACAAGGACCATGTATCAATGTTACAAAAAGTTAAAAAAAAAAACCATCCAAATTCAAGTGTTTCATTTATAAAATGTTTAGTCCACACTGTCACCCAATTTGAGCACAGTCTATAACAAAGCCATTACTGCTGACAAGGGAGGCAGGCAGGTGGGGATCTGGGTCACTCTTCCATAACTCAAGTTCTCCTCAAGCCAATAAAGAAAATTCTGCATTAGCCAAGTATTTAGTTGACAATGGAAACACACAGGATTCATGATGTCATTCCTTTCCACAGCTTATCCAAAGAAGAAAAAAGTAGAAGATATAAAGTATTTAGTGAACGAGTAGGGAGTTTTTCAAAAGGTAGCTTACATAGATACTCAAACAATCTGGAGATTTCAGAAAACACAGCAACCAAAAATACCGAGTTATACCACAAATATTCTAACAATCATGCCCAAAGCAATAAACTGATAGCAAACACTATATGCCAGGCCATGCTAAGTCATTTCTATTAGTAATCCTCTAAACAAATCTTATGTTGCAGAAGTGAAACTGAGACACTGAGTTTAAATTATAATTATTTGTCCCTAGTCATATAACCAATGAGTGAGTGGCAAAGTCATGGCTTCAAGTAGTCTTCACTCCAAAGCTGAAACTCTTAAACATCATACCATCATATCTCTCGTTCCTAAGCTCACACTACCACCTCCCCAACTTGCTCTTCTTAACTATCTCACAATCCCTCCTCCACAACTCACTCAGAATCAAACGAAATATTCCCTAGTCATTCTCGAATCCCAGATGCCCTCACTGGCTTTTACTGATCAGAAGCCTATGTATGAAAAGAAGAGACCATCTGGAGAAAATATTGTCCTTATCAGAAGCCACTTTTAAAAGCCATGCCTTTCTAAAAGGAGATAGCTAGCTTATACCTCACTGTTGAGCACTCCCTGGAGACCCACTGTCAGTATTTCTTTCCCTGCACAAAGCACAGTCTCTCATCACTGACTTGTCCAAGTGTTCTTTCTCAGAAAATTGTCCTAAGTCCGTTCTTCCTAATAACAATGACAACAGCTTCCGTATACTGAACATTATATGGCAGGCTTTGTGCTTTACAAACATTGTCTCATTTCATCTTCACAACCTAATAAAGTAAACCTGTGCCCATGTTACAGCTGAGAAAACGAAGACTCAGAGAGAGAGAGAGAGAGTAATTTGGCCAAGTCACACAGGTGGTAAGTGACTAAATCTGACACCACGCAATTTAAGCCTTCAGGACTTGCCTTTCAATTATAAAAATGTGAGTTCCTCTTGGACTTTAGTTTGAGAGCCACCTTCTAGCAACAGATGATCTCAAGTTATACCCAAGTGCTCACCTGAATTTCTTCATTTTCATCTACTAGGAGGAAACTCACAACCTTTTCAGTCATCTTCTTCCTCTTGGTCTCCTCATCCATCTCTTCTTCCTCCAGTGCCTCCTGGGCCTTAGCAACCTGGTACACAGTAACTGGGTGTCTCCTTTTGTTACCCCCAGAATGCGTTCTCTTCTGGCACTCCAGGCACAAGTTGGTTTTGCAGGTCTGGCACCTCACAGCTGCCCTCTGCCTAACACCAGGTGAATGCCCATTGGGGCCCTTGCAGGGGTCACAGTAAGGGATGTGGCCAGGTTTGAGCTTTATCCGCTCATGGTTTCTCAGGCGCTCCTGCCGATGGAGCTCCTCCTCACAGCGGAGACACTGCAAGCTACAGCACTCATCACACTCAAAGACAGCTTCATCGGTCCCGCTGCAAGCATAACTCTCCTGGCACATCAGGCCTGGATTCAGGCCCTTCTCTGCTGAGGATGTCTGGGCACTCATATTCAGTTTGCGATGGAAACACTCACCATACAGCAGTCGTTGAGCTGTTCCCTGGGAGTGAAGACCAAAGCTTTCAGTACGAAAACTACTGAACTTTCACAAGGTCCAAAATACCTCAAACAAAAGATAAGAAACCTCCGGTGTCCAATTATAATTCTTCTCACAACTGTTTGGATTAATTTTTTGCCTTCCAGATTCTTATATCAGCAGCAACGTTGATTTGGTTTGAGGGTTTCATCCTCCATAAAGTGGAGACAAATAAATATGTGGTCAAAATTAACCTTAAAGTGTTTTTGATGGCTATCTGAGCGAGGTCTGATTCGTTCACTGAGGTGGGCTCACTGGTTGGGCCTCAGCACAGGTTTTAGTAACAAAATGGAGTGGTCAGGAGCTTTTCAATATAATCCAATCTCAAGTTAATATGTCAGGGGATACCTAGAATAGAGGAAGGAAAAGGATTTCACTCACCTAAAAACAGAAGTATACTTAAAAAAAAAAATCATTAAATACTAGACCAAAACTCCTGAGAGGAATCTCATTCTCATTTGTCATGACACTAGAAATATCTTCTCAAAATCGGGCTCCTCCCTTTAAAAACAAACCACCTCGAGGCTCAAGGCACTTAAACTTTACTGCTCTACTTCCCAGACTGAAATTCTGTTCATCCAGTTCTTAAATTCTGTATCAAAATCACTAAGCAAATCGTTCTTGGAGGGACAACCTTTTACACCCTAACCCTACTCTAAGGAGAAGTGGAGAAAGAAGTCTGTAAACAGCTAAAGAAAAATATAATAGAAAATTTTGAGCTCCATCAACAACCTAGGCAGATCTGGTTACCCTTGCCCGGATTGTTTCAACTCCAGACAGATGCCTATTAGATCAAAACCTGGAAACAATAGTCACCATTTCATGTTTGAAAACAACTATTGTACTTCCTTTTGTCCCTTTTCTAAATGCAAAAAACAGGGAGCAACAGGAGACAGAATTCCTCCACTATGGCCCACCGCAAACCAGGCCTACAGTGTGTCAAAACAAATAATCGTCCTCTTTGTCACTCAAAAACAAACTTAAAAATAACTTTAAAAAAAAAAAAGAGAGAGAACTGGGCCAGGAAAGGGGCTTCTGTCACTTCTACAATTATGCTCGTAACTCCCCTTACCCGTGTCCCCCAACAAAGTGCAAAGCCCTCTTTCTGCTAATCACTCCTCCCTCGCAGTAATCGACCTATCAATCTTATTTTTAGATAAACAAGGAAGACGGAGGCAGGGACTAAAGGACCTATTTCCACCCTAACCTCCGAGGGGCCCAATCAGCTCCCACTACATAACAAAAATCAAAACTTGTCACAATTGAGACAAATAATCAAATCAATCTTCCAAACAACATTTCACCCCGCGAACCAAGTAAGCAATCTGCCCCCTCAGGCCCCCCACCTCGAGGCCTCTCTGCAGTCGAGGGTTCCTCACCCTTCCTTCCTCTCCGACACCACCACCACCACCACCCAAGGAGCAGCAGCGGAGCCTAAGAACAAAGAAGGCTCCCCAAAATCCACCCCAGGCCGGCAGAGCCCGGAGCTGAATCCATTGTTTACACCACCCCACCCCCACCCAAGCCGCCCGAGGCCCCCCTTCCTCCCGGGGACAGCCGGCGCCCCAGGACGATCGCTAGCCCAGCGCAGGGCCATGCCCTCCTCTCTCCGCCGGCGACGGCCCAGGGACCCCACCAAGGAGCTGTTCTGCCAAAGCCAGGAGGCGTCGGGGCCGGGAGGGGGGGGCGGGGGGGGCCGCAGGCGTCGGTGGGGGTGGAGGCTGTTCCTCAGGGCACCGGCGGATCCATCCTCATCTCCATCTCCGCCCCCCTCCTCCTTAGTTGCCTCCGGGGCTTCCTCCTCTCCAGTGTCAGTTGGGATCAGCTGATCGGAGTGAACTTCTCCCAGCTCTGACTAACAGGAAGGCGTGAGCGGTGCAGCCTTGGGAGGCAGCCGCGGGAGGGGTGGAGCCTGATGCCGGCGGGGGCGGAGAAGGACACGCATAGTCTCCTGGGAGGTGTAGTTCCACTCAAGTGCGTCTTTTCCCGCTTCCCAGAAACGAAAAGCCTGAAGGACTACAACTCCCAGTATGAAAAAGGAGGCCCTCGCGAGTGGCGGTGGAAACAAGCCCCTGCGCATTTCGGAACTTGGAGTTTTCGCGTTGATTGTGGTTTCCGTATGTTTTAGCGCGTTGTTTGGGCTTTAGTTGTGGCGTTAAATTAGAGAAATGATGCAATAAGGTGAGGGACAGTGTTCTGCTATTATAAATTAGGTTTTCAGTGCCTAATTGTTCAGAAGTGAACCGCCTCTTCATTCTTCATAGTCTGTCATAGTCCGGAAGCATCATGAAACCTGTCCACCATGGATGACCCTGCTGGTATTTGAAATACCAGTGACATAGCTTCCAGCATCATAGTAGCAGGCAAGCCACCACAGTATGGCGAATTGACAGGCGTGAAAACAAAAATCCTCATAACTGGACCAATAAGCAATATCATGAAAAACAAAAAAAAAGATTGAAGTTGTCAAGAACTTCATTTTACTTGTTGGATCAACAAGCAATGTCCATGGCGGCAGCAGTCAGGAAATCAGACATAGTAAATTCGACATCTGTTAAAGAGCAAAGCTGTCACATTGAAGACTAAGGTGTGCCTGACACAAGCCATGATATTTTCAATTGCCTCATATGCATGAGAGAGCTGGACAATAAATAAGAAAGAACGAAGAATTAATAACTAAATTATGGTGTTAGTGAAGAATATTAAATATATCATAGGTTGCCAAAAAAAACTAATAAATCTGCCCTGGCACATTAAGTACACAAAATTCAATATGTATTTATTGTGCAAAATAACTGTCTGTTTTGCAATAATGAAATATGTTTCTAAATATGTCTTCCAAGAAAACAACAAAGGTCAGTTACTGGAATATTACGTTTAAATTTTATCAGAATATTTACGTATTTCCATGTTAAGGAAACTGAACAATTCCACAATAAATAAATGAGTAGTTTGTTGTTGTGGTTAAGTGACAGTTTAGTTGGTTCCAACCCATAGTGACCATGAGTATAAGGTTCCAAGGAGCGGCTAGTGATTCGAACGGCCAACCTTGTGGTTCAAACCAACTTTTCTCTCCAATGCATTATGCAATGCCTTGTGCAATGCCACACCAGGACTCCAAATGAATAGTTGTTTTTTGTTAAGTGCCATTAAATCAGTTCCGACCCATAGCCACCCTGTACAGGGTTTCCAAGGAGCAGCTGGTGAGCTTGAACCGCCAACCTTGCAATTCAAATGACTTTGTAGTCCAACACATTAACCCACAGTGCCTCACCAGGACTCTAAATGAGTAGTTAGATAATAAAAAGTATATTAGTGTCATTTTATTTTCCGTTTCCACTCTGGTGGTGATGGTGTGCCTGCAGTCGCTTCTGACTCACAGCGACCCTGCATACAGTTTTGGACTAAGGTGCGCCTGACCCAAGCCATGGCATTTTCAATA